CGCTATGCGTATCTCGAAAGGTGATGGGTTTTTGCAGCGGGAGCAAGTTTCTGTGGAGGAAAAGCGGACAGTTGGGCTGAAGCAGCCAAAGAGGAAGTTCATGACGCTAGAGGCGTACAAGAAACGTTTTGGGGCACCAGATCCCAGCAAAATCAAGTCGCAAAAGATTGGAGGCGTCGAGCTGCAGGGCATCGACATTGTTAACGAAGAGGATGAGGGGGTCTTCGAATACATTGATCAGAGCTCAAATGCAGTTTCCAGGGTCACAGACCTTTCTGACCCGGACCTGATTCTTTCCAAGGATCAGAACGCAGTGATCTTTGCCGCGGCTACAAAACTGATGGCCCCAAAGGAAGACCCATTCGTGACCTTGCAATCGTCTAGTGCTTCGCCATCAGGGCCGGCTAGCAGTGTGGCTGGGGCTGGGGTTACCGACGGGGCTAATGCTGCTACTGGTGTTGACGTCACTGGGTTTGTCAATATCAGGCGTTAGGGGTTAGGTTGAGGCGGTAAAGGTTAAGTCAAAGTAGTAAGTGTGGCTCATGCCAAGGTTTCCAAAGACATCGAGATGGACGACGATGATTGTGACAATGAGAATCCATTCGCAGAATTGTTCAATCGCATGAAGACCAGTACGGCTCCAAAGGCAGCAAAGGCCAAATCAGCAGCGGCTCCCAAAGCAGCTGCAGGTGCCCCAAAATCAAAGGCGGCTAACCGCAACAAGAAGGCAGAAAGCGATCGCGGCTCGTTTGCTCCCCCAGTGAAGACGCCCGGCAAAGGGGACATGACGCAAGACGATGAGGAGGCTAGTTCAAAATTCAGGACACTTGTCGATGACTTCTACATGTTGGACGCAGCCAGTGCGGATGATGACGCCTCGTTTGCTTCTTGGGCAAAGGCAAAAATCCAGAACATGCAGGACTTAAAAAATCAGATCACCAACAAGAAGAAGTCGTTGAAGCGTCGCAGTACCAACAAGGATTCAGAGTTGGGCCCCATTCTTGATAAGTATGCTGCAGAGCTCACAGCTTTGATGGACTTTGTCAGGAAGCTTTCCAATGGCAATTCGGAGGGCCTGCAGCTGTACAACACAGTTGTGGATTCCCAGCAGCTACAAGTTTGCAGAACAATCTGGAAGCGTGTTCTGCGGGCAGCTGCTATGGACTCACTCAAGCTCTGCAAGTGGGACTATTGCTTCAACGAGCTCCACACCATGTGCCTAACGACTTGCGGGGATGATGCAGCTTCATTCTATCCTTTGTTGCTGTCGCAGCTGCTGCAAAGGCTGTTGAAGGCTGTGCAGATTCCAACAAACAAGCCATTGCCGAGTGACTCCTTAACCTATGTCAGGCAGTTCGTCGGTGCAGCCCTGGTTGATGCCCATGTGGCGAAGTCGTTGCAGCCGGGGTGGAGCGCTGGTGATCACTTAAAGGTTCTGGTAGCTACCAGGGATGTCTTGGATTGCAGTGCTTCCCCAACGGCGATTGGTTGTGCGGTGGACATGCTCATTTCGGAGACTGCCAAGCACCATTGGGCAGCCTCAGCATTTTCATTGTCGCAGGGCAAGAAAATCATGGAAGCAGCAGCCGCCAATGCCAAGGCAAGGGAAGCGTTGAGTGGTGTTCTAGATGTCTTGCACAAGTCTGAGGAACGGCTGAGGGCATCAGGCCTTTGCAACTTGGAAGCTCCATTCCTGGCGTCTTTGTCAAAATGTTTTAACGAGGAGCACGGGGTGATGGTGTCCGAGGTGCTCGTAGATTTGTCGCAGAAAGGCATGAAGGTGTTGAAGGGCGCCGACCGTGAGAAGTTGCTGAGGGTTCAGGAGATGGTCCGCTCTGCGTGCGGCTTCATTGTGATGGCTTGCGTCAAGCACGAGTTGCTTCCGTGGCTCAAAACGTGGATGGCGAATTTGGCAGCTAAGCAGCCCACGAACGTCCCAATGTTGGCTCCAACATCTTGCGTGATGCGCTTGGCAGATGGGTGTGGTCATGGACAAGAGTCATTAGTTGCTATGATCAAAGATGCGAGTACCTTCTTGGGTGAGCTGCAGAAAAAAATTGCGGGGCCTGCGCTTCCAGCATCTGAAGTGAGCTCCTTGACTACAACGTGGAATGTAAAATCCAAAGCGTTGGTGGCTTCGTTCTCGGCAAGCGCAGCCAAGTGCGGTGCAAATGAGAACGTTACAATCCTCGTTGAGGAGCTGAAGGTCACGGTGGGCAAGGCTTCTAGTGCAATCGAGGAGGCTTTGAAAGCTGAGGTGCAGGGTGAAGCATGGGCAAGTGTGAAGAAATGCATGAGCCTTTTCGAGAGATTGGTGTCAGCCTGGGTTTGTGATGAGAATGTTTGTGACATCCCACGCTGGAAATCCGAATTCGAGCAGGAGGTAGAGTCTGCGAAGCTGTACTCCACCGTTCTGAGCGACAGCAGAACAACCGTTTGCGATGGACTTGAGCATGCCTTGCTTCTGGCGCAAGCTATTGTAGCTCAGGAGCAGCCTTCAGTCGTTGCTCTCAAAGATGGTGCCGAACCCAAACTAAACACTGCTTTGATCAAAGTCACTCGCCAGCTTGGTGCCTACACGAATCCAGCAAGCATGATTCTCTTGCAGAGCGAGCTGAAGATTTGGCCAGAGGATTTTCTCGAAGGTCTGATGGCTACTCAAGAAGATGTTATGAATTCTGCGAAGACGGAGCTCGAAGCATTCGCTACAGCTTGTCGACAGGAGCTCAGTCTCTGCATCATCAACCCCTCCATGATAGACATCCCTGACTCCATCTTGAAGGTTCAGGCGTACTCCGAGATCGATGCGGCAGTGGTGAAGGATAAGTTCGACATCGAGCGCTTGAAGGAGGTGTCGGAGCTTGCAGTGAAGTTGCAGACGACCATTGACTTTGTGGCGCAGACGGCTGATACGTGTGGCATTCCCCCCAATGAGATTGCGGAGTTGCCAAAATACCAGGAGTCGTACCGCAGCGCCATAAAGTGGATGACAACGGGGAATGTCTTGTTTTCCCTGCTCACCAAAGCAATTTCAAGGGCAGTTCTTACTTCAAGCAAGCCTACCGGTAAGGCATTGGCATCTTTGCAAGAGAGCTTGAAGTATGCTTCAGAGAACGAGGTCGAGATCCCACCGGGCTTGCAGGCTCTTGTCAGCAAAGTGATCCAGGGTGAGGAAGTGCAAGCGTCAGCCTAGGAGCCCAGCGATTTTGCTGGGCTGTAGCTCTCTGAGTGCATGAGGCACCCTAGGCCTTCATGCCAATATGTCTCTGATGCATTGAATTTGATTATTGATGTGATTGATCAGACTGAGCCGGCGGGTAAGTCAACATCTGCAACTCTGTAACGCACCATCTGGTAATCTCAACCGGTAGCATTTTGTTGTTGTGAGTTGTGAGTTGTGAGTCGTGCTCGGCGCTGCGTTACTGGACTGGCTGGCTGCCTGCTGTTGGTGAGGCTGCTGCTGTCATGGGGTGTTTTCCAGCGTCGAATAACTCTGAGTAACAACTTCCAACCAACCACCTAACCCCTGACTAAATGCCGCAGCATTCTCTCTGACTCTAGCAGACAATGCGTGGATCTTAAGCGATGCTGTACAGCCACCGCAAGGGCCACGGTACCATAGCATAGTGGAGCGACATTGCTGTCGCCTGGGGCAAGCCGCGGACACATGTAGTGAGCTCCATGCCAATTAATTGAGTTGTCCAGCCAGAGGTCCAGAACCGGCAGCCAGATGATCATGAGTCAATTGCGACTCTCCTAGTGTTAGTACCTCACCATTAGTTCCAATTTAGTTCAGAACCGAATAGCGAAACGAAGCAGATCGCAGCAGCAAGACAAGTTGAGCGAGAAAACCACAAGCTTCTTTTGAGTTTTGCAATTGCCGCATGTCTTGCTCCTTTTGCCTTTTGCTGACTTGACGTTACAATGAGTTGCAGACTTGTGTATTGTCGGCTCAGTTGGGCGCACCAGTGCTCCCGTGATGCGATGACTTGATGATCTAATCAATCTAATCATCCAATCTAATCTATTCTATTCTATTCAATCCGGTCACATGCAGCGCTCAATTAAGCAATGCGCTGGCAGTCTTGAAGATCTTCCATGGTTTAATTTAATGTCACTTATAGTACTTTTAGCCTATGGCCGCCCTATAGTCCTACAGTCCTACAGTACCTATTTGTAGATTGTTTGTCCGATGCCGCCAAAAAAGCGAGCAGCTTCTGCGTCGCCTCCAGCGAAAGCTGCGAAGGCTGCGAAGGCTGCCGCAAAGTCAGCTCCAAAGAAAGGCCCAAAGAAAGCCACTCGGCAAACGGCCGAGCAACGTGAGAACACTGTGAAGGTGGATCCGACAACAGGGCAGACCAGAAGCGTTGTGGTGATCACACCGCCGCCGCCAACGCCTTTAGAAGAGCGACCGCTAGATTCAGCGGGTGTCAAGTTTTGGGAGCAGTATCGCAAGGCCTCTAAGCCTACGACAGGGAAAGTGGATGAGCCACAACCAGAGCGTGAGCCTGCGTCTTCATCACAGCCAGGGGCAGCTTCCGCTGCAGAAGATACTTGCAACGTCATGACGCCTGCTGAGGAGGAGCAACTCGTGAGTGAGCTCTCCGCTCAGCTGGAGGAACCTAGTGGAGGCTCTGCTAGTGAGCTCTCCGCTCAGCTGGAGGAACCTACTGGAGGCTCTGCTAAAGCTACCGACTGTGGGTCAGATGTGGTAGTTGCAGCGGTTGCGGCCCCGGCCACAAAGCCCGAGCGGGATACCGCAGCGGCTGCCACTGAAGATTCTAGCCAGCGCGATGCAGGACTGGGTGTTGCTCAATTCTGCCCTAAACCCTAGCCCTA